GTGAGGGTCCGGGGCACCGTCTGGCCAGGACTCACTGCCCGTGGTGCCTGGCTGTATGGTCACAGCTTCCGATGCTCAGGGTTGCCAGGGAAGGGCTAGAACCTGGCTCCTCTGTGGAGCCCAAACACCTGCCATCTTCCAGCCGTCAGGAGCCCCCAGCCCCGAGAACCCCCAAAGCCGCGGGGTCCCCGTGTCTGCTCAGCAGTACTTGCGAGCCCACGGGCCTCTGTGGGTCGGGAAGGAGCTCCTGGCTGTCTCCGCCCCAGCAGCCTAACAGCCCCCCCCCCGCATGGCGGTGGCAGACACACAGGGACACACCCCCCGTTTCGCTCGAGCACAGAAAACATTCATTAAGCGTTTTAGAGGACAAGGGCACAAAGAAAAACACTCATTAGAAGCAGAAATAGTTTCCAAATGAGCCATACAGAAGCTGCTGGAAAGTCTGGCCTGAAATGGGGGACTGTTCTCTTTGGGCTTATTGGGAGAAGGGTCCCACAGGATGGAATGTGGGGGCCCGGGACAGGGATGCAGAGGGCAGCAGGGAGGCCCTGAGCCTGAGCACCAGAAAATCCCAAGCAGGAGAGGCCGTGGCCGCAGGACGGAGGGTGAGGCCCCTGGGGTCTGGCTCACCCGTGGAGCAGCCCAGCGGCAGGACTGGCCACACCCCCTCCCGCCCCCAGCAAGGCTCAGGGCCAAGGTGGCTGCAGTGACAAGCACGCTCGGGCCCTGGGAGGCAGAGGCAAGGGTGCCATCGCTGACTGGCTGGGTGACCCTGGGTCTGGCCCTGTCCCCTCTGGGCTTCAGCGTCTATCTAGGAAATGCAGCAGCTGAGTTCTGTGGAGCCTAAGGGCCCTGCCAGCTGTGACACATGGAGGCCCCGACGTACAGATGATGTGATGGAGGAGTACGTGTGCCAGCCAGTGGTGGTGGCTTCTCAAGTCCCAGGACAGATCCCCCAAAGGCCCTGACCCAGCTGGGCAGATGGCTTCGTGGGGTGCACACGGGTCATGACAATGCCCTTATGCACTTGGGGCTTCAGTCCCCTCCACTCCCGGGAAAGGCTCTGGTTCCTCACTTGTCTCCCTGCTCACACCCTAATAAAACATTTAGTAGCAACAGAGAGGGGGCAGGGTCGCTCCCTCCCCTGAAAATCAGGTCACTAGGGAACTTTTAAGTGCTGTGTCAGTTCCGGTCCCCCTCCTCTCCCTGATCCTCCGCTTCTGGAAGGGGTGCTGGCCTCCTCCCCCAGGTCTGACACCCTCTCTCCCTCCCTGTCCTGGGGTGGCAGGCCCTCTGAGCAGAGCTGAGGCCTTCAGGGCAGGCCGGCCCCTCCCTGTCTGGCTGAGGCTCTGTGCTGGGAGAGACAGAGGGGCGCAGCAACCCCCCACCTCAGGGACCTTACAGTCTGGGCGCAGGGGAAAACCAGGCCTGCGCGGGCAGAGGTTCCTGCTGTGCTAAGTGGCCTTGGGGCGAGTGGCATCAGTTTGGGACCCCTGTGGCCACCACGGCCGGCCACGCTCTGCAGTGGGTGGGGGCGGTGGGGCCACTGCTGGAATGAACTCTCCTTTATCCAGAAGCCCTCCTTCCTCCCTGCCCCTTTCCTTTCAGCAAGGCTCCCCTTGCCCCCCAGCCCCTGGCACCTCTCTGCTGTAAGGGGCGTGGCCGACAGCCACTGCGGACTTCCAGGGACCACCAGGCTGGCTTCCCCGGGGAGCTGGTGGTGACTGGTGGCCGTGGGAGCTGCCTCCTTCCTCGGCTCTTGCCTCGGTCACCACCCTGACACCTTCTCTCCCACCCAATCCTTTTTCCTGATAATTGGTGTCAGAGACAGACCTGGGCCAATTTCCATCTGGGCCGGTGTCTCATGGCTTCTTTCCTATTTAATATCAGAGAAATTAAGCCTGGCCACACCGTCATTATCCTGGTGTTGTAATTAGCACCGGAACAAATTGCCCTGAGCGGTGCCGGCTGCCGCGGTGGCTCTCGGGCTCGTGCGGGACGTGCACCGCGCTAATTGCTTTGGCCTTGGCTCCTTAACCTGCCCCTGCCCGGCACACACTGGGGAGCGGGAACCCCCGCCCCTGCATGCGTCCCCCCCGTCACCTGCTCACGGAAACAAGGGTGATGCTCCAGGATGCAGTGGATAGCGGGGGGAGGGAAGACTGTGGGGCTGGGAGAAGATAAAGGGGCTCAGGTCTGCCCTTAAGAAACCAGTTCCTGTGACACTGGACCTTGGGGGGGTTGGGGAACGGGCTCCCCTGCCAGCTAGAAGTGACCCCCCAGGCAGACACGAATCACTCCACATATGTTTCCGGCCCACCGTGGCCAGGACAGAAGCGCGGGGGTGGGGAGGGCTGGGACAGCGGAGCCCTCCCACTTGTCGCCTGGAACAAGGCAGGAGGAGCCAAATCTGAGTGAGCAGAATCCAGTCTGGGGGGCT